GGATGAAAATTCTAATATTATTTTCCTAAATACTATTTGTAGGTTATCTTTGAACTCAAGGGAGAGACGTTATTTACCAAGCATACGGCAGTGAGATTGGTTGTAAATGAAAACATACGCTATATGCTCTTTGTCTCTGACATTTATTTTCTCATGCGTTTTCATCAATTTATATTTGCTTTTCTTAAATGTCATTATTTATCCTGTAATATATGCATCATGAGTACTTTTTTCTTGTTGCTAATTGTAGGCATCCGTCTCTTACAATATGTACTCAGAAAGTGAAGTCCAAAATAGCCTTGTTATTTTCTATAGAGCGGTTTAATCATTACAGTCTCGTGTGATCTCATCTCCACTGAGATGAGCTTCCTGAGAAAATATAGAGTTGTCGTGTGTTTGTTAAAATTCAAGTTGAATAAATTACCGTAATATTCAGAACCTAGGCAGGGGAAAACAATGTTTTCCTGCCTTGCATGCATAATACTCCACACTTTTTCCATTCTGAAACATAGTGTGTTTTTATGCTAAAATGTCATCATGTAGTAGGTCAGTGTTGCATAGACAGCAGTCTACTTTCTGAGCAAACAATTTCTTAACAGCCATAAATTTAATGCTATCCCTGAATTACAGAATGGACCATGAGAGCAACATAGAGCAATTAAGTTTCCTTATTCCAAACTAACCTTCGACTGCATGAAGTTAAGTGAAATACTTAACCTCTTTTCCTACAAAAGGAAAAACCAGTAAAAGGTTTCATATAAAGGTATATTATAAAACTGATCAAGGAGTTAAAATGCCACAGTGATTAAAATTACACATTTCTCAGATCAGATCAAAGTACCACATTTCTGAATTTGTCTCATAAATCTTCATTAAACTTTGTGTGCCAAGACTAGAGTCATTCATTGTTATCTACATTTTCAGCTCTACCCATTTGCAGAAAATCGTGTTCCCAGAAAGCACAGAAAGCTATTTCATTTATAGTGAAGTGGTATAAAATTTTCACTTCGAATCTCTGTAGGGAAGCATGGGTTATTGAAGGTTTTCTGTTGAGAAACAATTACTCTATCCATTTACTGAATATTGTTTATTTTTATGTTGTGTGAAATGCCCTGTGGGCCTCTTAGAATTGACTGGAAGAACCAATTGAGGAAGAAAATATCCAATTAGCTCAAAATTTTACAATGTACAGAGTTTGTATTCTTTCAAAGTCAATATGTTTGTTTTGGAGTTTTTGTGTGATTCCCGGGGTACCAGCCTTGCCTTTTAAACTGTTACTTAGCATAGTTGTGAGTCTAGGCCTGCTTGTTTAGAGTTATTAAACCTCATGCACTAAACGATTTCTAGTTCTTCCAACATTAAATAGTTCTATATTTGTAGTCAAAGGTTGACAGTTACACTAGTTTATAGCTTGAGAAGATATCTGAAATTGCCTGTCTCTGCTCTGTGGTACCCAAATGGAAAAGCTCTATGCTTAAGTTGAATATTTGTTCAGGCAACAGTAAATGTCTTTACTTTGTTTTATTGCTTACTAATCTCAGAAGTGGTTGATTGCCCACCTCCTGGAGCTTCCAGTTCTATTTCCACCTTCCAACTCAGAACAGATAAGGTGGCCTCAGCCTTTCAATGTTTTAAGACCTTCTGATACCATCTTTCAGACTTCAACTTGGCTTTTTTTGCTTGTTTGTTTGTTTTGTTTTGTTTTGTATTGTCTTAAATATGAAAATTTCCAGCAAATCTCCACTTTCTTTTTAAAGCAGTGGAAGGGAAAATTTACCGAGTGAAGCTGTGGATCAAGGACTATGTTCTTTGGGTATCTTGGTCAAAAGTTTAACGAGTACATTAGCAACCAGAATCGGTCAGGAATATTGCCCTTGTTTATTCATTTATTCTCATTCCTTCCTCTGAGACATTTCTCAGTCAGTTTTCTCTCTTTCTCCCCACCCCCTGCCCCCGTTTCTCTTCCCCTTATATTCAGTCCTTCCCCTTTTATTACCATCTTGCTTAATAGTACAAGCGTGTCTTCAGTCCTCTTATCTTAGGAGTTGTTGAATTCTCTTCATCCAGCCCTCTACTGCTTCATCTTCCCTTTTCCACATATATATTTATGTACATATGTATGGGTGTGTATATACACACACACATTTAAGAGGGCGTCAGAAGATGAGATGGTTTAATGGTATCACCAATGCAATGAACATACTCCAGGAGATGGTGAGGGACAGGGAGGCCTGGCATGCTTCATGCAGTCCATGGGGTCGCAAAGAGTCGGACATGACTGGGCGACTGAGCAACACCGCCATACATATATTTATATAGAGAAAAAACATGCACATGTGCATATGTACATAAGTATATGTGTGTATAAAAATCTGCACACTTTCTGAACTTGCTTCCTTGTAATTTGTAGAGTTCTCAGTGCCTTGAAACCTGCCTTCACCCATCCCATCTCCTCTACACTGACTCTCCAAAGGCACGTAATCACTTATTCATTCAGCAAGCTTTATATTTGAGCATCTCTCTGTACCAGAAATAGTTCAAGGCTCTAGGAATTTAGTGATGAAAAATCCTGACACTATCCACTCTCTGTGCTTCAAAAGACCTTACCATCTCTAAACTCACAAGAGGAGGGAAATATTAGCCAGATAAGTACACAGGTATATAATTGGCCAGTTGCACAGTGCTATGACAAAGGCACAGATGATGTATAATCAGTAGAGGAAGATGTAATCAGACCCACGGCTTCAGGGAAGTGACCCAAATCTGATGGCTGAGTACAGGTTTATCAGACAAAGGGAACAGGTTTTATAAAGGCCCCAAGACAAGAAGCACGAAAGCAATTAAAAGAAGGCTTGGGTGATGAGAAAAGCAAACAAAGCATAGAATTCATGAGGCCTTTTGTAGTTAGAGGCAGGGTCCTGATGGGAAATTATGGCTAAGGCTTAGGATGTCATCTTTTTCCTGCAGGTAGTAGGATGCCAGGAAGGAGGTCTAAGCTAGAATTGGGCAGGAGGGAGTAAGGCAGGATTAGTGATCAGATTTTTATTTCTCTAAGCTTACTCCCCATGTTTTTCCGAAGAATCTCCGTATCTTAAGCTTTCATTCATGTGTACCTCCCTGCCGGCTTTTCCCTTTCAGTTATTATTGCACACTATTTAAGAAAATATCTGTTCTATGATAAGGTATAAAGAGATTTTTTTTTTTTATCATCCCTTTGCAAAAAGTGATCAGATTACATTTCACACCCAGCAAAGAGGGCAGGGCCTCTGGAAGGAAATCAGACATAGTGCCTTTTTTTCACAGGATCTTAGAATTTTTAACCCTTCACTGTAGTTCTTCAAATTGAGATAAAATAGCGTTGTGTGTTCTCTGGTTAGCTGTCCAAGCCATTGCTTTTAAACCTTTGTATTTGAAATATACCTGGGCATGTCACCAAAAAAAAAAAAAAGAAAATCATATGAGCAACTAACAGTCATGGATATCTCTACCAGAATCATGAACAGGTCCCTGTATGCCAGCTCTGATTCCACTGCAACCTTCCCACCCAAGAAAATATAACCAACATGCAAGTGCAGGTGAATCATAAGCTATGAAAAATACATACAAATTATACACACAGACACACACACACACACAAATACATATACAGCATGATCTGCATCTTATGTATTTTGATACATAAACTTGTCCTAATAGTCACATTTTTTGACACACACCTGAATATCTTCCCACAAATAGGATAATATTTAGAGATTGAGTTGAGATCCTCCAACTCTAGTCTAAGGTCCTCAGCATCTTTCCTGTCTACTGTACTGTGTCACCCAGAAGTTGGAGCATTGTTTGACCAGGATTTACACTTATCATGCCATGCTGATGCTGGAGTTGCAGATCTTTTAAGAAGCTTACCACTCATTTGGATAGATACGACACTCAGGTAACAGATATGAACCATAAACAATAAAAAGTATTCAAAGCATTAAATGCATAATATAGATAGTAAAGATTTTAGGGATTCAAAGAAAAGGAAAATAATTCTGGGTAGACAAAATGGGCAGTAAAGATTCGTGAATCAGACTAATGACAGGTCAGTTCTTTCTCAGTCTTCTTTCTCAGTTCAAATGGCACCTTTTCTCAGAGGCTTTTTGGAAGCACTCTCTCATAGTAACATTCCCTGTAGCCATCGCTTTTATTGTATCACCCCATCTGAGTCTTTCTGATTACTTCTCAAAAATCTGTACTTACCACATTCAGCTGTTTCATCATTTACTGCATGTGCACTCACTAGACTGTTATTTCCACGAGGTAGGGATTTTCTCTCTTGCTCACTCTATGATCTCAGAGACTCTGATAGTGTCTAGCACATGTAAGGTACTCAGTTCTATGTCCTTACTTAATTAAGATGCAAAAGCTTTAAGTACTTGAAGCATACACTCAGAAATTCAAATGTGATATTCATTTACATTGTCCAAATTCTCTGCAGTATTTCGTAGGTGACCATGTGCATGTTCTTTTGCAAAATTTGGATTTATACTGGGTTAGGTGTGACTTTCCCAAGTTCAGTGTTAAAGGCCAGGGAGTTTCTTATTTCTCATAAGCTATTTCACATTTAAGGGAAATAGTGTCCTGTATACTTTTTGTTTTCTCCAAATTGATAAGGCTAAACCATGAGTAATCTCATTCACCACATAGTTTTGGAAAACATACCACACTTATATGATAAAGGCATCCTTGAAATCAGGTAAAATATTTGGCATTGCTGTTAAGTAAATTTGTGTAAAAATATCAAGAAATACTCAGATTGGTAGAACGTCTTTTTTTAGTCATTTGTGTGCATGTGTATGTTAATTTTAATTTTCTTTATACCCAAAAAAGCTAAAGGGCTGCTTTATCTTATTTTAAATATAGTAGCTAAAGGTGATACTTCTGTTAAAAAATTCTCTTTACTTTGGGGAAAAAAGTGACCTCTAGACATTTATTTGTTTCATTTATATTTCCTTTAGAACTTCTTTTCTAAATGATGGAGGACTCAAAATTGCCAACGTAACTAAAGCTGATGCTGGAATTTATACCTGCATAGCAGAAAACCAGTTTGGGAAAGCAAATGGCACAACACACTTGGTTGTTACAGGTAGGTGCCTTTCTTAAAGACTTCTTTACATAGGGATATGCTGTGTGCCTTCTTACTAAGATCAAAGGGAAAAAATGTTTCTCATGATATTCAGTGCACCATAAAGGTCGGCCTTGTGTTTGGCTCAGACAGGAAAGAATCTGCCTGCAGTGCAGGAGACCCAGGTTCAATCCATGGGTCAGGAAGATCCCCTGGAGAAAGGAATGGCTACCCACTCCAGTATTCTTGCCTGGAGAATTCCATGGACAGAGGACCCTGGTGAGCTACAGTCCATGGGTTTGCAAAGAGTTGGAGATGACTAAGTGACTAACAGTTTCACACTTTCACTGTCTTTAACAAGTGACAGTCAAGAGAACAGTTCTTAATATTTCCTTTACATCACAGTGTGTACCAGGAATCCACAAGTCGCTAGTTGGCTTAATGGTCAATAAAACTGCAAGTAGCATATGCTGCTCCTATACTTTTGTGCTATTCTATTATGTCAAATCTTTTGTACATCTTTTCCCTTTTCAATATCTTTAATATTTTATGGAGATGTTTAAATCTCTGCAGTAATCCTTGCTATCAGTCAGAGTTACTTAGAGTTGTGGTTGTATTTTTGTTCATTTATTTGTCGAAGCAAAACACTGAGTACCTACCATGCTTGGGTTACCTTTCCCAGCCGGTGTAGTGGTAAAGAATCTGCTTGCCGATGCAGGAGATTCAAGAGACACAGTTTCGATCCCTGCATCAGGAAGATCCCCTGGAAAAGGCAATGGCAACCCACTCCAGTATTCTTGCCTAGAGAATTCCATGGACAGAGGACCCTGGCAGGCTACAGTCCATGGGGTTGCAAAGAGTCGGACCCAACTGAGCAGCTAACACAACGCAACAACATGCTTGGGTTATTCAGTAAACAAACTGACAAAGATGCTGCCCACATGCACTGTTCCTTCTTCCAGAGGTACAAAGAAAATAAGCTGTGCATAAATATACTGCAAGGAATATAAAGCAAGGAAATACTTAAAATGAAAGCAAAATGCAAACAAGCAGAAAATACCAGAGGAGTGTTTGAGAAACATAAGCTGGAGCAAGAAACCAGGTGATCAGAGAAGGAGAGATGTGACCCAAGACTTCATGGAGATGAAGGAGTTCAGTTGATTTCTTAGGGACGACCCTGCAGGGGTTTTGTAACCCTTGTTAGCAGTTAGTTGGACTGAGGTTTTAGTTGGAGTGAGAAGTAGAGACCGGTGCAGAGTTTTGAGCAGAGGAATGAAATGATGGAAAGTGTATATTTAAAGGTTTACTCTCACCCCTCAGTAGAAAACAGACTATGGAGAGTCACGGGCCGAAGTGGGAGGAGGCCCAGGAGACACTGCAGCAACCCAGGCAGGAGTGACACTGACCACAGTGAGGGTAGCAGCAGAGCGGCCGACGGACGGAAGGCACTCAGGCCTAAGTGTATCTGAGTGTGGGTCCCTGGCATGACTGACGAACTGGATATGAGTGCTCAGAGAAGGAAAGAGCAGCATTCCTGCAGGGAATGTGGTGAACAGCAGGAAGAGTATCAGCCAAAACAACCAACAGGAGAAAGGCTGAGGTCCTACAGCATGGGGTAGGAGGAGCATCAGGAGATTGCTGTTGTAAAAAGCATAGTAAATGACTCTTTTGAAGACTTTGCTGTGACATGGAGCGAGAAATGGGGACTAGTAATGGAAAAGTGGAATCAGAGAACTTTAAATTCATGCATGAGACAAGTGCTCAGGGCTGGTGCACTGGGAAGATGCAGAGGAATGGGATGGGGAGGGAGGCAGGAGTGGGGATTGGGATGGGGAACACATGTAAATCCATGGCTGATTCATGTCAATGTATGGCAAAAACCACTACAATATTGTAAAGTAATTAGCCTCCAACTAATAGAAATAAATGAAAAATAAATAAATAAATAAAATAAATTCACAAAAGTTGGAAGGACTGTGGTGACAGAAATGCGCATGTGGATATTTGCATTTGGGAAGAAACAGAAATTAATTAGCATTTTAACTAAGTATCCTACATATTCTAAACATCAGTTTTTTTGTAGTATCTCAAAAGTTTTGAGTCTATTTAAATCTTGGTAGTAGTATATTTTCCAATCATTGAAAATGCAGTGATTTCTATTTCTACTCTTATATTTCATGAAGCAGTAAAACTAAAATGAAATTGATTTTGTAATAGTATTATAATTCTTGTTTACAGGTGACTTTAATTTTTAAACTTCTATAGCCTATAGATTTAGATATCCTAATTCTTTTAACAAGGATTTGTGTATGCAATGAAATATGTTATGGGTCTTCATCAAAATGTCTGTTTTAATCTTGAAGACTTTTCATTATATAGAGGTATATTTACACACACATGTACATCTATACAAACATACACACTATAAGTGAGATTAACAATCTGCCTGTGAAAATTGCTTTTATCAAAATAAAAATGCTGAAGCTTTGCTTAATACTTTGTTATTTCCCCAATAGAACCGACGAGAATAACTTTGGCACCACCCAACATGGATGTCTCCGTGGGGGAAAGCGTTATTTTGCCCTGCCAAGTGAAGCATGACCCCCTGTTAGATATCATTTTTACCTGGTATTTCAATGGGGTCCTCACAGATTTTAAGAAAGATGGATCTCACTTTGAGAAAGTTGGTGGGGTAAGTCGTGACAACTTCCTCATGCTTTTTACACGTCTCTGATGTTTTGTCCCTATAGAAACATCAGGGACATACATGTTGCGCCAGTAGTGTTTGTTCTTTGAGAGAACCAGGGTTTAAATTCTGTAGTGATCTATGATCTAACTTTATCATTGTGATTACCAGAAAGTGAGCACATTTACTTCAATCTGTATATTACAATTTTATTTAAAATTATGGCATCACCGATTCAATGGGCATGAGTTTGAGTAGACTCCAGGAGTTTGTGATGGACAGGGAGGCCTGGCGTGCTGCGATTCATGGGGTCGCAAAGAGTCGGACACAACTGAGCGACTGAACTGAACTGAATGTTTATTTGTGTTTATGTTAAATATTACTTTAACATAAACATATATTTCTGTTTGTGTTAAAAGTACTTTGTGATACTTTTGTCATTAGCATTCCCTTCCAGAAGGGAAGGTGTTCTTATGAAAGTGTTTATTTTCAACATAAAGTGTTATGAAATTGAATGAAGTTCACATTTATGAAGTGCTTCCAATGTATCAGGCCAGGGTCCTCATCCCAGTTAATTCTTGCAGTGGTGCTGGATGTTAGTGCTAAGAATTGTCATTTTGCAGGTGTTTAAACCAAGGATTTGTAAACTTATTAATCTGCCCAATGTCACTGAGCTGGTTAGTGGTGGAACTTAGATCCAAGTTTAAATCTGTGAGTCCCCAAAACACAAGTATTTTCTTTTGGTCCATTTTGTCACCTCATGTGTGATGGTTCTACTTGAGGAAGAATTATAAATTTCAAGGGAAAATAGACACCTTGAGGAGAACTGCTGAGAATGGGCTCAGTGTTGTGAACCACGCAGAGTTAAACAGCAGACCTCATACTGGCCACATGTCTGTGAAGTCAGAATCACAAGGCCAGTTTCCCTTGCCAGCCAGTTTGCATCGACACAAGATTATCTTCACTCATTTTGGCTAAGATGTCAGTGGTGCATCATTAAAAAGTCTGGGTTTTCTCCTTATGGATAAAACAATATGATGGTTAATTCAGCTATATTCATTTAAAAGTATTTCTTATTAAAAGTACATATGTATATACATGGGCCTAGTAATGTGTCAGGATTGTGTGCAACTACAAAGGATGGTGTTAAAACTTGAATGTGTGTGTGTATGCTCAGTCGTATCTGACTCTTTGCATGGACTGTAGTCTGCCAGGCTCCTCTGTCTATGGAATTTTCCTGGCAAAAATCCTGGAGAGGATTGCCATTTTCTTCTCCAGGGGATGTTCCCAACCCAAAGTCGAACCTGTGTCTCTTGTGTCTCCTGCACTGGCTGGCAGATTCTTTACCACTGAGCCACCTGAATGGTGTCCCCTTAAAAGATCTGTTCTAATCCTAATGCCTAGCTGTGAAATGATAGAATTATTAGTCTTTGTCCCTGGTTCCTAGCACAGAGCTTCTAAAATCTTTAGAATTTCCTGGATGATGAAACCTCTCTTGCCCTAATGAAGTGAATCTGTGGGCTCCTGTATAGCTTCAGGATGGTCATGAGAAAGACCAAGCCATGATTAGAAGCCTGGAACTTCAGCACTCCCTACCCCAACCCCATCCTTCAGGAAGGAGGGAGGGGATGGGGATTGAATTTATGATTGACCAGGCCTATGTGATGCAGCTCCTATAAACATCCCAAAAGTAAAGTACTTTTCACCACAGAGAGCTTCTGAGTTGGTGAACATAGCTACATTCTTCATGGGTGACACACCCCACATCCACTGGGATAGAAATTCTTGCACTTGGAACGCCTCGAGATCTCACCCTATGTATCTCTTCCTCTGGATGTTTAGATGCATTCTTTATGATACTTTATGGTATTAATGTTTAATGTATCATAAAATAAATAAATACTACCCTGAGTTCCGTGAGCCATTCTAGCACATTATTGAGCCCAGGAGCATGTCATGGGAATGTCAGTTTATAAGTGATTGGTGAGAAGTACAAATGGCAATCTGAGACTCACGATTGATATCTGAAGTAGGGCCAATCTCATGGGATTGAGCCCTTAACTCGTGGGCTCTGATGCTATCTCCAGGCAGTTAGTATCAGAATTGAATTATAGGACCCCCTGTAATTGAATTACCAGACCTAGTGTTGGAGATTTGCCTGGTATGGAAGAAAACACACATTTGGTGTTCTGAGTGCGTGTAGAGTAGTTGACCATAAAGGTGACACAGAAAGAGTTTGTCCTTTACACTAGTGCCTCAGGATGTGACCTTATTTGGAAAGGGTTGTTGTAGAAATAATGAAGTTATGATGATGCCATGCTAGAATAGGATGGAGCCTAATCCAGTATGACTGTTGTCCTTGTAAGACAAGGGAAATTTCTACACAGACAAACACACAGAGAGAACAACCTGTGAAGTCATAGACACAAGGAAGATGGCCCCGTGAAGATGGAGGCAGACGCTGTGAAGTTACGCTTCCACAAGTCCTAGAGTTCCTGGAGTTGCCAGAACCAGGAAGAGACAGGGAAGGTTCTTATCCGAGAAATTTTGGAGGCAGATCTTGATTTCAGATTTCTGGACTCCAAAACTCTAAGAGGATAAAGTTCTGTTGTTTGAAGCCCACCAGTTTATGTTACTTTGTTATAGCAGCCCTAGTGACCCTCTACAAATGGTCTTCAAGAAATTGGAGATGTTTAGATATCTAGCCACAATTAAGTACAATTTCAATGCCATTTCTATTTTCTGTCATCTGGCTTGTTTTGTTTTCAAAGTTCTAGTTAACTTTCCAAATTGTTCTGACCAGTTCAGGGCTTTTAAGAACTTCATCAGTTGCTGCAAAGCATTGCCATTTCTTTCACTATTGCTTTAAATGCTTTTTTTAAAAATCAATAACCTCTTCTATCACAACAGGAAAAGGCATATGCCGGTATCCTCTGCCAACTCTTTACTCCATGCTTAGGGTTTATCATTTGCTTTTACTTGGAGAGGAGGAAATGAGGGGAAAGAAAAAAAAAGACTAGAATGTTACCTTCACAGGGATTGCTTATCCAATCAGAAAAATGCTTCTCCTGTAACCCAGCTCTTACTCTGACTTTAATTCATAAAGAATTTGATTTAAAACATTTGCTTTTCTGCATATTGTAGATAACAGTATTTGTGGCTTATCCTCTGGATTTTAAACTGTTGATAATATTTTATCCAATACAATGTCCTCCATCTGAGCTAATGCTAAAGAAATATATGTTGATATACTAAAAATTCAAAGCATTTTGATTTTATATGCATCGAACATCCTCAAAGAAACATTTGCTAAGACTGAAGTAGACAGCTGCTTTCTTAAGAGGATCTTGGAATTGAGAATATTCAAGATAATAATGTTACTTAACTGCTGCTGCGCTACTGATAGGCTCTACGTAAAGTATTAAGTCAGCCGTCTCTCTACAAGTGTCAGGTATCTGAACCATGCAATTTCATGAATTAACCCTATCACTTGCCACTTCTGTTCTTTTTCTAACGTGCTTGATCACAGCCTATGAATTTTTTATTGACTTGTGACATTAGTTAACTTAATATTCTCCCATCAGTGTAAAATGGTAAGCCCTACAAGATGACATTACCCTTAAGCACAGGCTATTAAATAAATTGGTTTTCTGTTGCATGAGAAGGGAGTCACATAACCACGCTTTATCCTCTGATTGTGTGTTCATTGCAGCATTCACGTTAATATCTAGAAAGTCTGCTTTTCTTTTATTGCATTGTGTTCATAGATAGATTCCCTGTTTTCAAAAGCAACAGAATGTGAGAGAGGAGCTGGTAAGTGGGAAAGTTGTCTAGAAAGCTGGATAGTCTAAGAGACATTTTTTATTTTTTTAAAGAAAAAGAATAAAAAAATGGAAAATCAAGCATACAGCTTTCAGCTGTTCCAGCCACTTGTCCTTGAGACTACTCTGGGTACTCAGTATTCATTCATTTGTTATAAAAAAAACACCCACATTTTGAGAAAAACCCAGAAGCTCAAAACAACCTCTAACAATTTAGATTAAATCTGTTGTATAGACTTGCACATCATGCCAAAGGAGTGTGATGACTGTTGGAGGAGAGGAAATTGTCATGTCCAGTACAGGTCACCAAGTGAGGGTCATTGGTTTCATGCAGGAAAGAATTCAAGAGCAAGCCAGAGTAAAGTGAAAGCAAATTTATTTAGAGAGATAGATATTCCATAGGCAGAACGGGGACCTCCTCAGAAAGTGAGAGTGGGCCCAGGGCATGGGATGGTTGGTTTTTATGGACTGAGTTAATTGTGTGCTGTAAGGAGTTGGAAGAATATTCTTACTATTCCAGGGAAGAATCCAGATCTCCAAGAACTGGGATACTGCCCACTTTTTGGTCTTTTATGGTCCACCTTGGAATTCTCATGGTATACAAGAGACTGGTTTTGAGTATTATAATGAAGATACATTGAGCTAAAAGTCAATGACCAGACTGTTCTCTGTGCCACCTTGCATTCAGCTGGTTTCAGCCAGTTCCATCCAGTTTTTATCACATCCTAAAGACTCCACCCCCTCTTCATTAATCTTATTGTTGTGTCCCGCCCACTTACCTCCTGTCTCAACTGCAGTTAGGGTTTCTGCTCTGTCAGAATGTATAACATTCAGAAAAGCTTGTTAAGCTAATTGTGTAAAGCAAATTGACACATCACCAAGGAGAAGTATAGGTAAAATACAGGCTTTGTTCCATAGGACAAATCAAAGTTGTATAACTAAGTCAACAGTAAAAGGCTTCCACTTAAGTCCACTGTTTGCCAAGCAAATCTTGTTTGCAGGCACCATGTGATGTAATTAGAGAAGCAGGGAATTTGTGTTCAGGTACAGGTGAGGTCTAGATCCTCTTGCTCACTAGATGATGCCTTTGCCTGGGGTCCTCTATATTCACCATTTTCTGGTTTCTTTTCCCAAAACTTTTTAGTATTTGCCATGTTCCCTTCCACCATGAGATTTTGCACACAT